AGAGAGAGAGAGACACACACACACACACACACAGTTAAAGGGCTCATGTCATGCAGCTCATTCTCAGGAATCTTTTGAGATGCATCAGCAATGTCTATAATAACAAATGCACTTTTGTTATTGTCATTACTGTCATTTTGCTGCTTAAATTTAGCTTTTTATTTTAGCAGAATTTATTTTAAGAACATTTTTAAGCACAAATTTATTTTTTTGCAATGTATTATTAATTTAATGGAGTAATATGCATTTAGTTTTTAAATATGTTTTATTTCATTTAAATTTAAATTAACTTAAAATTGATTTAGCACTTAATATATAAAGTTATATCATTACTTCTCAAAAATTACATTAGAATATAAAGTTATTACAAAGTATTTACATCTAAAATGTTTTGTCTAACATTAATTGAAATAAACAGTTAAGCGAATTTATTTTTTATATTATTTATTTTTGTGTTTAATATATTTTTGGATTAGATTTGTTTTCACTTGCTTTTATTTTTAATTGTCAATATTATTTATTATTATTTCAGTGTATATAAATGTTTTTTAAAATTAGTTTTCCTTTTAGTTTATTTTTAGCATGCAATAGCACACAGTCTGCGTCTCACATGTTTATCTGGATGTGAAGCTTGAATGCACAAGAGCTTGTGTTCTAGAATGAATACAGTCACAGATAATTAGGTGTGCCCACTATATTCATTATATAATCATAGAAGTGTTGTATAATTCAGAGTTCTCAAACAGGAGGCTTCGAAATGACTTAAAACAAAAAACTGCTTCAAAATAAGCTAAAAAATCTAGATTTTTTTTTATTTCACCCTCTCAACAACAGTTTTTTTGTCTTTGAAGATATATATGCTCCCGTTGTCATTTATAAATATATAAGTAATTAATTTTTTTTACAATAAACTTACTTGGAGTCAAGCAAGCTTATTTTGAAATCTTATTGAGTTTTAATTTTTAAATTAATAAAAAATTAATGAATAGATTTAATTTTGTTGATTTAATTTAATTCAATTCATTTTGCCTTTATTATATGTTTGGATTAAATTCACAAAAAAATTTAAATTATTAAAACATTAAAGTGCTTTGGGCATTTTACTATGAATCTATTTATTTATTTATTTATTTATGTATTCATGTATTTATTATTTTATTCCTTCCTAGATTTAAAATAATTGATTGGAAAAAAATCCTTCTCATTAACTCTTATCCAGTAAATCACGGACGACTGTAAATAAAGTATATAAAATAAAGATCCCTGAATAACATTAAGCTCTTAAAACTTCTGGAATTCTGAAATGTAATTATTTAAATTATATTTATAATGATTTTAGTCACTTTTGTTGTGTGTGTGTGGTTTTTCCCATATATATATATTTTTTTTTTTTTACCAGTTTTTATTAATTTTTATTTTAGTTATTATAGTACAAGTTAAACTAAAGGAAAATGAAATGTTGCCTTGGCAACTAGCTGAAATATATATTTTTCATTTAATTTAAGTTAACTTTTATGTCAAGCAGCAAAAGTTTTTTTTTTTTTTAATTTTTAAAAAATTTTTTTTTATGATTTTAGTTTTAGTTAACTATAAAACAGTTAACTCATTTTAATCTTATTGGAATCCACATTAATGTATGGACACTCCTAATTCAGTAAATTAAAGAAAAGTTTTTGAGTATAAAAGTGTGAATGTTTTTGTGGATAATGTGAGACGCTGGAGTCATAAATATTGAGAAGCGCTGTCTAATAATTCACATTCATGATGTTTTGGTGGAGCGCTGGTTTTGTGAGAATCTGTAGCTGATCCTCCTGCGTGACGATGAATAGCCTGGACTAATCATCCGCTGCAGTTCTGCTGGAATCAGTGTCTGTGACTGGAGAGTGTGAGGATGTTGTTGATGTTCCTGCTGTAACGCATGGATTTACAGCCGCCGCAGCCGTTAACACAATATTGAATTTACAGTCCGCCCCAGATACAGTGCCGTTGTTTTATGATTTCTGGATTTATTGGAGCTGAGGATTCTCACCCCTGACCCTTCATGAAGCGCTGATTGATTTCTCCACAGCGTTCCCGTCGGGTTACAGGTTTGGGTCGGTGAGGTCAGACTGAGAACATGCTGTAATTTACACTGTTTGACTTTTATTCATCCGGATTCATGAGCGCTGACGCTCAACCAGTCCTGCGTCAAACCAGGCTTTATGATGAAAAAATAAAAAATGAAGAAACAAAACTGTGAAGAGAAAATAAGACATGTTTGTGTGTTTGATGTTGTTTTTTATAAAGATATGACCCTTTTTATTTAAATCGTTTTCCTTATTAGCCGAATTTGAGATCCGATGTGGATTGAGTTGAAAAATAAAAGTGTATTTAAAATGTCATATATTATATAATATACATATATTAGTTTAATATAAATTATAATCTTGTATTTGTAAAAAAAAAAAAAATTTAGATATATATATATTTTTTTTTGTTTGTTTGTTCGTTTTGTTTTGTTTATTAAATTAAAAATAATATAATGTTAATATAACAAATTGTCTTGCTATGGACTCATTTGAATCTATTTTAATACAAGGACATTCCTAATTCTGTAAATAAAAAAAAATAAAACGTTTTGGAATATAAAGTATTGTTGTGGAGTCCTAAATGTTGAGAATATTATATAATATTTAAAAAGAATAATATATGTATATATTGATTTATATGTAACATATGTATATATTATATTTTTATGATGAATTATAATATTATATTTGTTTGTGTAAAAACAAATGTGTCGGAGGATTTTGAAAAATATTTATTTTAAAACATCTCTGTTTTAATATAAACTTGATAATATATTTAATATTATACTCTTTCTATAATATTTGTTAAATATAAAAATGTGTGTGAGAATTTTAATTAAAAATATTACATTTAGTAAATAATGATGTTAATAATTATAGATTATTATAGATTAGATGAGATGCGTGTGTGTGTGTGTGTGTATATATTAGAGCTGTCAGTCGATTAACATTTTTAATCTAATTAATTACATGATGTTACAATGAATTAATCTAATTAATCGCAAAATAAATTTGACTGAAAATACCCACAAAAGATTATTTAAAGCTATTTTTGTGTTAAATGAGAACTTATCAAGTAGACGTTACAAATTGTAGCTTTAGAAATATTTTGTTTGATTCAACATAAAATTTATTACACATAAACATTTAGACTACACCGGCCTAACATAAACTATTGAACATAAAAGAAGATAATTTGAGAAACATCTCAGTATATTTTGTTCATATATTTTAATTTAATGATACACTAAATAAGAAACTAAATCTGCCAGCAGCTGGTGGTAAATGTCTTTGAGTCATTCATTCATTAATTCGATTCGTCCAAACGGCTGATTCATTCAGGAATTGAGTAAACGGCTCTCTTTATGAATAGGCTTTGAATCATTGATTCACTCGATTCGTTCAAAATGCGGATTCATTCAGAAACTAAACACCTCTGTGCTGCTCGGAGATGCACAACAATTCTGCTGTGGCTTTAAAGGTAAAATATTCTCTGCAAAACTGAGCAAAAACATAGTATTCTGTTTAAAATATAACACAATATTAACTTCTTATTAACTGAACTGTTGTATAAAATCACATTTGCACTCGTGTTCTTCGTGACAGAAACAGCATTCGCCTGATATTGCTCTTGCTGCTGGTGTGATATGCTTGTCATATGATATAAATATGAGACAAAAACTCATACAGGGACATTTTTTACCCCAATATCTTGAATTTTAGGGCATAACTGCATTTATGGAGTTGTTGTCCTGCATCATATTTGTCAACAGGTAACTGTATGAAATGTAAGATGATGTACAGATCTGGGGGCGGAGCCAGTGCATTAACTGCATTAAAATATTTTAGTCGCATTATTTTTTCATAACTAATTCATTAAGTTAACGCATTTGACTGACAGCCCTAATTCGATTCGTTCAAAATGCGGATTCATTCAGAAACTAAACATCTCTGTGCTGCTCGGAGATGCACAACAGTTCTGCTGTGGCTTTAAAGGTAAAATATTCTCTGCAAAACTGAGCAAAAACATAGTATTCTGTTTAAAATATAACACAATATTAACTTCTTATTTACTGAACTGTTGTATAAAATCACATTTGCACTCGTGTTCTTCGTGACAGAAACAGCATTCGCCTGATATTGCTCTTGCTGCTGGTGTGATATGCTTGTCATATGATATAAATATGAGACAAAAACTCATACAGGGACATTTTTTACCCCAATATCTTGAATTTTAGGGCATAACTGCATTTATGGAGTTGTTGTCCTGCATCATATTTGTCAACAGGTAACTGTATGAAATGTAAGATGATGTACAGATCTGGGGGCGGAGCCAGTGCATTAACTGCATTAAAATATTTTAGTCGCATTATTTTTTCATAACTAATTCATTAAGTTAACGCATTTGACTGACAGCCCTAATATATATATATATATATATATATGAAACTAACTAGTTAGCTAAATAAATAAAGTGATTACAACAATCGTGCCGATAAATTATTTCTGTTACATTTTAATATAGTTGAATTCCTGTTCTTATTTATTAATTTATTAATTAATATTTTTTACATTGACAGTTTTACCCACATGTGACTTGCATAAACACATTTTAGTACATTTCGAAATTGAAGAAGAAAATGCAACATTGTAACAATTTCAGAACAAAGCAAACGAACTAGAGGTCTGAAAGTGGCGATGAGGATGTAATAATTCCTGAGAAAAACGCTCAGATGTGCTTATTAATGTAGCGGCAGATGTCTCGTGTTTCTGATGGTCTTCATTCAGGGTTTGGTTTGGATGCAGCTCTGGCTCTCAGTAATGGATGTGTGAATGTGCTGTTCTTCTCGACCCTCACCGCTGATGCTTTCCTCCCTCTGATGTTTTCATTTGCACCGCGGCTAAATTAATTACGCCGATCTGCTTTTGTAGCATGAGTGCTGTGTGGTTCCCAGCGGAAGCCCTGGAGAGAGATATATATATATATATATATATATATATATATATATATATATATACACTTATATGTATA